AACAAGCGGTTGACGTTGAAATTAATAAAAAAAATGCACAAAGCAACGAAGAAGTCGAATTTAAGGAGGTTGTAAGGGCATAAAACACATATATTAATATTTTCTTATAACTTTAAACAAACTACATACATGCGAAAGTTATGTTTATAACATTCTGGTTTTATTGAGCAACACATTTTTATAGGTTATTTATTTTATTTGTTATTAATTTTATTGTTATAAACAAAAATTATTAAAATAATAAGAAAAATCTAAATGTTTTTATATAAATATATTAAGTACTAAACATGTCTTATGCAAAGTTTCATTGAAATTCACCATTAGTTTATAACAAATAACAAATTTTATTTATTTACTGAACAATTAATGTCTGCATCTCAAGATAACTTTACAAAAATAATGTCGAAAATATTCCTAGACTATTTATATAAAAAAATTGAGATTTTTATCATTATTTTACAATACATTTTCATATATTTATATTAGAGTACAAATTTAAAAAATATTGCTACTTATTTAAATAACTTTTGATCCAGATGGTCAATTGTTTCTATTTTTTTTGTATTATTATTAAATGAAATCTAGAATAGTCTGTAATTTTTTCAAGTGGCTCTTAACATATTGCATTTGCCTTACAACCTCTTTAAATACCGATAAAGAATTAACTATCGCTTACGACAAAATGACAATTTATAATTTCGATCCCCTCTCGCTTCAATATAGGCTTTTGAATAAACAAGTCACACGAAATACTATTGCATTGAATGCTTGCGAGTCGTTATACAAGGAGAGAGGACCAATCCCGCGGTCGTTAATTAGTTGGTGTTGGTGCCTCGTCTTGATGCTCACATTGCTCACCGCAATCGCGCTGTGAAGGAAAAGGGGAAACAGCAACACGATACGATACGATACGATGCGATACGATGCGATGCGATGCGACGCGACGCGACGGAGCAGCTCCGCTCGCTCGAATCGTCGTCGGTCGTCGTACGAATGGCAGCGCGCCGCCGCCGCGGCCGGCCAGCCTTGTATAATATAAACACAGCATACAAAGCAAAAACAGTGCCAAGGCCGCGCGCGCCAGCCGACCCGTTACCGCGCTTCGAAAAATTTTATATTTTCCAAAGTAAATTCACACCGAACGCATGCACCGTACTCGAATTTCGAATTAGTTTTTCGGCGAGCCAGCTATTGTCCCGAAATTTCTGTCTCGTTTCATGACGGTCCAACGTTTGCCCGAGATAACGATTCATTTCACTCGATCAAAATTCTGTTTCGTTTGAAATAGGATAACGTACCGTCCTCTTGATATCAAATTTGCCGTTAGTAATCATCGACATTAAGAATTGTCAATATAATCAGTAACAATCGATGTTAGTAATCATTGTAGTGTATGTATAATATCAATGAGTAAGAAGCAAAAAGATACAATTACTTTGACAGCAAAAGTCAATATCGTCTAAGCTAATGTCAAATCAATAACAGATTGCAGATAATTGCTGCTCTAATTCTGCGCGGTATTATTAGCTCGGAAACTATTGCGGTCGAATCCCGACGTTTTCATATTAGGATTATTTAAAGTATAATTAATATCTAGAATATGCTATAACTAAAATATATAGGGACATAAAAATATGTTGTATTGAATTATATATACTAGTATACAATATACATGTAAACGTAAAATAAGAAAAGTGATACATTCAAAAATTAGCAATTTATGTCAGTAAAGCATTAAAGAAATTTTTTTAATTCTTTTTAAATTAGAACAACGTTTTAATTAGGATAGTGAATATGCATAAGTACATGCACTTTCTTTTCATGTTATACCTACTTTTAATTATAATGTGTTCTTTAACTCTTTGAGGACGAGAGTTTCTCCTAACAAAGAAACTTGAAAATCTCGTTTTCAACCTCTAAGGATTTTTAGCTCGCTGATTTTAATTCTGTCTTCAGAATTCTCAAATTCAAATTTCGGCAAAATAATCTGGTTATCGTGAATTTAGAAGGTTCTTGGTATCGCTGAGTTTGAATATAGTCTGAAAATGTCAAATTTCAAAAGGAGTAAATTGGTACCTCCAATGAAAGAGGATCTAATGTCACGGGCTCATAATCAGAGTTAGAGGAGTCAGTTTGGAAATTGGTACTAACTGTTTGCGTGGCACTAATGAGTTTCAAATGAGAGCAAAATTGGAAACTTGACGTTTGTAATTAAAAATTCTCATAAAACTGAGTTTCGTAAAAATAAAATTATTAATTTTTGTTTGTCATATTGGACTCACCGTTTTGAATTTTTTATTTTTGACTTTGATTCAAATAAAAAAAGCATATACCTATTGTTAAATCATTCCATCAAGCCAAGTGTCGTAAAAATCGAATGGGTAATTTACAAAATAAAAAGTAACTCCGAATGAGGTCGATCGGCTGTCTACAAAGAGTTCAAACTGTCATAAGTTTTTAAAATACGAATATTGCAGTCTTGATACAGAGTTGTGTTTCTTTCTTTATCAAAGTTGTGACATTTTACCATATAAGCAATGTGTCGAAAAATATGTCCTTTTCCCACAAAAACATGAATAATAAACTTTACAATCGATTTCCTCTCATTATCTCAAAAACGCTTACTTGTGTCACTTTCCTATCAACATAACAATATGCATATATTTACTTTCAGTAATACATTTTTGTTTAACTGTTACACTCTCGTAAAATTTAATTCCTCGAAAAAAAGCTTTTCGTTTTTAATTCCATATATAAAAACTTGTCAATCGTACAAAATAGATAAACAATTAATTTATGATTTCGAAAATTCCGCGATTTTTTGATATTTTAATTAAGCTGGATGTCGCTTAATTGGAATTCAGTTTAGTATATTTCATATTTTCCGGTATTTCCTCTGCGGGTTGAACAAATATATTACGCTGCAAATGAAATGCATATATAATAATATTTATAACAATAGTTACAATAACGTACATACATGAATTATAAGTAGATGCTTTCTTTAGGAATAAACGACGTACGCTACGCGTGCAAATCTCTTGGGACGACTGACGATTTTGCAAGCAGTCAGAATCACGACGGAGTATACAGAGACTGCATTAATAACAGAAATATTAGATCGTCGGTATACACGGTGGATAATCCGGCGGCGTACATGAATATGCAGTTTCTGGGGGCTGCACGGTGGGCACGAGACGGTAATTTCGTTCGACACGCGGAGTTGTGTTAATCCCTCGTTCCTTCGTGCATTAACCACCTGTCGTTTTACCTGCAGGGTCTATGCTTTCGGTACTTTCATCTCTTCCTCGGGGACACGATCCTTATACGGAATGCAACACCCCACGCAACATTTCCACGACACTGCAAAATTTAAATAACCTCTGTCAAAGAGAGGCTTACAGTTAAAGGTTAATCATTATTGCCTCGTATATACTTAAGGGAAACCTTTGATCCTTTAAACGACTT